TGTTTCAACACGTTAACGCACATCCAGACATCCGGCATCTCACTGCTCGTGTATATCATGGTGACAATGAAGTTGAATGAACCCAGACCCCAACACCATCCTAACCACACCCCGATATATACCCTGACAGTAGGATCTGTCCGGAACAGGGGGGTGCTCAAAATTAGATATCTCTGCGACTTTTGTCTGTTGTTTTTTTCCCTCTCGGATTTTTGCCATATTTCACAGCCAAAACGTTGTTTGCATTACACTGGCTGAGTCTGGCTCACAATTGTTCTTTTCTTTTTTTCTTTTCCAGTACGTTTTGTAAATTTATTTTCCGAAAAATCAAAATCTGGAAAAATGCCAGCAGCATATAATTTGATATAAAACTTCCGATCTAAACCCGAACACCATCCGGACATCGGTATTCCAGCCTGGGCATTCACTGTCCACATGACTATCTGGATGTCTAGATAGCAACCATCATGGCAGCCGGCGTTCAGCTGGGGCCGAACAGCCGAACACCCGAATGTGCGGGGCCCCCTTTAGACGTGTTTGGCCGTTCGGGCCGAACACGGAGCCAAAAATAATAATAATAATAATAATAATAATAATAAATCCTAGGCTACCAGCCCAGCCACCCGGGTCACCTTGTTTTCCAGGGCGGCCCGGTTGTACAAGGGCTAAGGAAGTTCCCAGCAAAAAAAAAAACTGAAAAACAACTATGTTATGTGGAAAAAAATAAGCTTAATAAACTGAAAAAGTTTCTCCTCAAGGTCATATCAATTTTTTTTACCAAATAAAAAAAATAATAATAATAATAACAATTTTGCATTTTTTTTGGCCCGGTGGGTTAAGCCCGGTACCCCCTAGGAAAAATCTGGAAAAAAAAAATTGTTATGCAGAACAATAAACTGAACAACATTTTTATTTTTATTTTTTTGGGAAAGGGGCAACCATCGCAGTATGATCCAGGCACTCCACGTTCATACCACGGTTGCCGTTCAATTATACAATCAGGAAAACGGGTCCAGCGTCCCTCACATCAATAGCAAGATTTCAAAAACGAGGGATCAACCATCCCCACCAGTTCATTCCAACAAACTACCAAAACAAATGGGCAAGCATCCAAGGGTATGCCCACACCCTGCAGAACCATCCTGCCTCCCGCACAGCAGGGGTCTATATCCACAGAACCCGCAACTGCAGACGTAGGCCCCGCAAAACCCTCCCACCTCCTCGAGGCTCAGGGCGGATTTTGCACCTCTATCCATTCTCACCATTACCAAAACATCAGCTCCCGCCAAAAACATCAGCTCCCGTTTGCAAACCAGCGGAAATAACCTACCACCCACGTGGCAAGGGCCACAGACCCCGCAAAACCCTTCCTCGCGATTTAAGGTAAACCAATAACCCCAATCTGCATTCACTCCGGAACAGAACTTCACCGCCCTCCATGATTAAGTGCTGGCAGCGTGGTACTCACCAATCCATCTAAAAATATTGGATGATAGAAAAAAAACAAAAAATAAAGGTGAATGTCGAGACAACATATACTATTCAAACCCGCAGAAATACCCCACCACCTGCACGGCAGGGTTGAAAGACCCCGCATCCCCACCCTCCTCCTCGCGGCATAGGGCAAACTACTCGACATATCTGCGCCATCTCTGTAAGAAACCCATCGCCCACCAGGAGAGAGTCTCAGCAGAGAAACGCTCACTCAGCCGTCTCAAAACATTGCAAGAAAACTATAATCCTAACTACTGCCTCGGTGTTACAGCCAAATTCTTTACCAAATTTGACATAAAAATAAAATACGGAAAATAAATTTAAGTAAGTAAATAATAATAAGAAGAAACATAAGAAAAAACGAAAAGACAATTAAAAGCAGTGAGTGGGCCGGCACATTTTTGACACCGCCATCTTTGGCGATTTTTCATTTTTTTTGGCTCAGTCAAATGCCCTGGAAATTTATAGGATGTATTTCACATGTTACAAAACTCATTAAAAAAATAAAAACAAAATAAACTTGGTTAGGCCCCAAAATAAAGTGGAAAGAAAAAGTGAAAAGAGAAAAAAATACAAAACAGTGAGTGGGCAAGCACGTTTTCACACCGCCATCTTTGATGATTTTTCTTTTTTTTGACTTAGCAAAATGCCTTCAAAATTTAAAGGCATATACCTCATATCATAGAGAACTCACAAAAAAAAAAAATAATAATAATAATAATATTGTTTATGCCCCGAAATATTTTTTGGCGGGGGCCGAACCCCTTCAGGTTTGGACCCCAAACGCCGAAACGTTCGGGGGTCAGCCCGGGGGCCCCCAAACGTTCGGCCTGGTAACCTTAGCAAGGGTTCAGCCTCCTGATGAATCGGTGAAACTCCGGCGAAACAGTTTGTCACAGCCCCTCATTCGTCCTCTTCTCCGTATCTGCCTACGGTTTACCGGGCAGCTCTGTTTGACGATATATAATATATACCGGCCAGCTCTGTTTGATGAAGCGGTCCAAGCGTGAAGTTCCCTCCCCCGGGAAAAAGCGGGGGTGGAGCCTGCGGCAGTGCCAAGCGGGACCGAGGAGGACAACAGGCCGCGGTCGCCCAAAAAAAAAGTGCGGCGGTGTCTTTTGGCCACGGGGCTACCTGCACACATCCCGGACCTGGCGTAAGCAAAGTTGCACGGGAGCCATAGAGATCCTGAGATCGAGCGGAAAAAGTGCACTGGGGGCTGCAAGAAGACCAGCAACAATTGCACATGCAGCGAGTGCGCGGACGTGCTGGCACGTGTTGAGGTGAGCATGTGTGTGGAGGCGCAAAGGTGGTCATCGTGATCCGGGGATGGCCGGTGTCATTGCCCATCTCAGAAAATTCCACATCACAGTGTTCTGTGCTTTTTGGTGCTGTTTTGCTCTTCTCTACGGTACAGGGCGACACGAGTGTGCTGTGGCTGAGTGGCGCACAGTAATGAGAGCTCTGGGGGAGAGAGAGAGAGAGAGAGATCCGGGCATGCCCTAAGGATCGCGCACACGCGCGCGCATGAGAGAGAGAGAGAGATCCGGACGTGAACGCACGAAGATATGAGCGCGCTTTTGGCTTGACAACTCTGTGGGCCAGCGAACCTATCGGAAAAGTGCAACCATATTCGTCTCTTTCTCGATCCTGGGCGTGATCACCATCAGATGCTTCTACGAAAGTGATAGGACAGCAAAGTGCAAGTTTGGGTATGCGCGCCTTGGGCACGTGCGAAGCTTTGCGAGCTTGGATGGTGGGAAAAGGAGGCGGATGACCAAGGGGGGAGGCGGAGGTGAAGCTCACAGTGGAGGACTAGGTGGTGGGGACCTTGGACAGGGATGGTGGACAGCATGAAGGGGTGCACGACGACGGAGATGATGGAGGATGAGGGGGAGGAGGAGCAGGTGGAGGTGGAGGTGGCCAAGGAGGAAGGTGAGGAGCAGGAGTGTCAGTTTGTCGTGTTCTTTTTTTTTGCCACTTTTTTGCTCTATTTTCCACCTCTTGTTTTTTTGTTTTGAGTCGGTGTTGAAGTCGCACGCGGGCCTGACCTGCACAGGGGCCATGCCAATCTTCACTGTTTCATCCTCTCCTACTGGGAGGCGGACACGACTGAGCAGGAGGGGGAAGACGCGGAGTTGGTGGGAGGATATGGTGAGCACGAGGACATGCTGCTGGGAAGAGGAGGTTGTGGGAGAACGACAGGGATTGCGGGGAGGGAAGGCCGAGATGGGATCACAATGGACTCCTGTGACTGGCACAGGGCCATGCTCTGTATTGTTCAATCGCAGGAGAATGAGGAAATGACTGAGCAGGATGGGGAGGAGGAGGAGATTGTAGGTGGATGACGGGGAGGGGGGGGAGAAGGTGGATAACGAGAAGGGAGAGGTAAAGCGAGGGGTTGCAATGGATGAGTAGGAGGTGGCGGACGAGGAGGTGGAGATGGTGGATGATGAAAGAGCGGAGGTGGCCAGACAGTAGCGGAAGCTTTTTTTTTTAATAATTTGGACCATTTCCCAATTTATTTGTCATTCTTGCACACGGGCCATGCTAATCTTCTCTGCATTGTTCCAATTCTATAGATGCCTGAACAACATGATGCTAACAGATCATGCTGGGAAGAGGTTGAGGTGACTGAACAGAGGTCACAATGGAAGAGGAGGAGGTGGCCGAAGGTGGCGAAGGAAAAGATGGTCGGGCAAGCGGAGGAGGAAAAGGAGCTGGCGGAGGAAGACGGGCAGAAGAAGCAGAGGAAAAAGAGTGATCGAAGATCACCTACAACATAATGGGGGGGGGGGGGGGGGGGGGGGGGGGGGGGGGGGGACAGGAAAAACTTGGACGCGTCACGCACGGAACAGAGCAACCAGGAGCGGAATAGGCAGAGGTGTGAAACAAGAACAACAAAGAGGAGGAGGAGGAGGAGGAGGAGGAAGAGGAGGACCAGGATGACTCGGCGCAGGAAAAGCAAGATGAGGAGGAGCTCTAAGATGCTGACGAGCTGGGGGGGGAAGGAGGAACAAGAGGTGTAAGACGAGGGAAGCAGAAGAAGAAGAAGAAGAAGAAGAGGGATGACAATGAAGAACATAATGGAGACCAAGCATCCGAAGGACGCATGCCGCGTGGCTTGTGGAGGAGAGCAACGAAGGATCAGCAGGAGGAAGACGAGGAGGAGGCAGGGACAAGAGAAGGTGGGGCTGGAGATGGGAGGGCGATCAACATGAAGCTATTCTTTTGTTAAAGTTCCTCGGAGTGTGGGGCTCTGTTCGGGTGCCGTTCTTCTCTTTCTCGCTCCCTCCGACTATGGTGCTCCTTCGCTGTCTCTACTCCCCTCTGCGGAGCCGCGGCTGTCCACTTGTATATATAAAGAAAGAAGAAAAATGATTAAAATGAATGGTTTCAGTATGTTCTTCACGTTTGCCTTGTGTATTTTTAGCGTTTGGTTTGGAAGGTGCACTCTCTTCGTTCATAGATATGTGACGATATATGATGCAAGTCAGTGGTTAGGGGATACTCAAAGTTCGACTAAGTTACACATTTCGTGATGCCAACCGCAACTATGGTTAAGTCCGACTCAAGAAGTCCAACTCTGAGTAATAGAGCCTAAGCTACAGAACAAGATCCAGGGCTCTGTAAGGGCATACGGGGAACATGAACAAATGGGCCGCACCTGAGAAACTGATGGGCGGTCAACTGGGTTGCGATCTGGAGAAATCCCATCATCCTTCAGTCCAAACGAGCTCGTTGGAAATGCACACACCCTCACCTGCACCGTATTGATCATCATTAATGGGCATATAATACCATTCATAACATCCAAAAGAGTTCAATGCTGTCATTGGCCTAATTGTTGTCACACCATATGTCAACAACGGGAGCATAAGAGACGGCAATTAAAGACAAGGCAAGCCAGCAACCACACCGCAAAAAAGCAGATACAGCCTACCACTACTGGTTCCCTGCAGGTGCACACATCTGCAACCACAAAGACAGATTATGGATTAAATTGTGGACAGCACCTTCAAACTATAATCGCAAGGTCTTCCAACCCAATAGCCACCAAAAGCCAAGCAAAGCATGGCTTGATGCATATACAACATGCTCCCACAGCACTTCAATGACCTGAGAAGTTGGCAAGAGACTGGTGACAAAATGAAGATCTCTTTCAGGCAGTGTCAGTTCCATTTCCTTTTCAGTGGTGCAAAAAGTGTACATAATCTTCCGACTCTATAGAAACAACTCTTCAATACTATAAATATTCTGATTCTAATAGAAAAATTAAGAAAATTGAGTATTTCAGATATTTCTACAGAAACACTTCTTTAACACAATCTTCCCACTCTAATAGAAAATTGATTATTTCTATTACTGAAGAGGCATGAGTGGGTTTCATGATGTAACATTTCATTCTGACTTGCCGATGGAACAGGAACCGGACTGATGCTCCCCAGAATGGAAACGGAGCCAGGACCATAAGGACCTGTTTTATCGACTTTTATGTATAAAAAAAAAAAAAGTTACATCACCGTGAAGGGTCACTTCGTGAATCCAAGTTAGAAACATGTCTCAACTCTCAAGCCACCACAAACCTGTTTTAGTATTATACTCTTTTCTAAACACGAGACTGATTACAGAAATAAACTTACTCCCTTTTTTGCAACTGTGAAAGAACAAAATGCTTTCTGAAAGACCCGTTCAACAACAGGTGAACTGGACATAGGATTATCTGTGAGAGGACACAATGCTCATCAGGCAGGTGATATTGAACAAGCCACTACAACAATGTGGCTTTAGAAGAAAGAATTGACCTGGCAGCAGCTGATTTTCGATTGTACGCGTATAGACTCGCATCCAACACTTACCGTCGTCTCACTGGCCGTAGGGGGCATAAATGCAGTAATGCCTCCATCTATACAAACACGATTGCGGAAAATAGTCACAGGCCTGGGAGCCAAGTACCTGCCAGGAAATCCACAAACCAAAAATTGTTCCTCATTTAAACACCAAAAAAGACAAAAGACATTCCGGAAACTGTCAGGAAAAATACAACCAGCAAAAAAAAAAAAAAAAAAAAACTATGTGCGAGGAATGTGCCCTCTCGGTGCCCTTATGAGACATACAAGTGTTCTGGGCTGTGACCCCCAGCAAGCCTCGAGCCCGCCCTAAGTGAAGGCAGGCCTGAATATCCACACGAGGCCTCTTCTTGACATTTTTTCCATATGTGGGGTATCAGACAGTTGCAGCACACCAGTTGGTTACAAAGCACTGACCCTTTCTTGGCTCTTTCCAAAAGCAACAGCTCCGCTGCGCAGTTGAGCCCAGGGCCCCGGTTGGTTGCGCCCTGGGCACACATACTGGGAGGCCAACACATCACGCAGAGGCCGCGGACCGATGAGAAAGCAGCATTTTCTTCACACAACCTGGACGAGCCAATGAGAATGCGGCAAACACTGGAGCCTCGACAGCTGCCCGGATGTGCCCAACTTTAAAGGGCCCAGGCCCGTAACAGCAGAGGTGGGCCTGGACGCAGACACTGGGGCCTGACTGGAAGCTACTGGAAACTTCCCCAGCCAGGCCCAACAGGACCAAAAAAAAAAAAAAAAAAAAAAAAAAGGACCTCCAATGCACTTTCCAGGGTGGAGGGGGTTAACTTGGGGCCGAAAGTGGGGGTCCCTGTTAAGTGATAGTGGTGCCCTGCCCAGGCAGCCGCATTCTGGCCTGAGCAGGCAATGCGACCACGCTGCTGCTACGCCATGCGAAGCTACTCTATGCAGCCAGGCCGGAGTGCACGCGGGCGCCGAGAGGTGTGAGAGCACTGTGGTGGCAGTGCACGCACGGCGGCCATAGCCGGGCCGAGCGTGCTGGTGGCAGGTGATGGCAAAGGTGGTCTTTGGGTAGGAGGCGCATGCAGAGGGGAACAAGGGGTTATGAGGGGAGGAGAGAGAATGTACCTGGTGTACGCAGGCGGTCGGCATTGGTGATGACGTCACGGTCATTGGTCTTCAGCTTCGATGTGATCTGGTTGCAGGAACATAGATAGGTGTAGATAGGCTGAGTAGAGTAGGCTGGGCGCTGGGCGCCACATAGGAGCGACATTGGATACTGTGTTGGTGTGACCAGAGAGTGGCGACATTGACATACGAGTTCATTGTATTGCTCTTATTTGGAGGTTATTTTGGTGCATTGTGCTCTCTGCTTCGTACATGACTATCTGAGCTACTTCGTGATTTTGCAACTTGGTTTTCTGTCTATCGCTCTTGCTCACATTCCTTGCAATTTGGCGTCGGAGCTGGTTCGATATCGCCGTTACCGGCGCTGGCGACTTTGTTACTTGATGCTGTCGAAGCTTCTACGCAGTAAGGATACATTGGCGCTGCCTGATTGGGCAACTCCCGGGTAGCGGGGAGTGTCGTCGGAAGGCTGTGGCGACAGCGGATGTATGTGGGATGATGAGAGCATGCTGACATGGCATTTTGGCTGAGGTGGCACTCCATTGCATTGTGTGTGGCACCCCTTACCTTATCTTCCCATCTCATTCTCTTCTTACCGTGAGGAAGTGAGTTCGACTTCAGAGTCCTCTTCTTGGTCAGGAATCGTGAGCGCTGTACCTTGAGAGTCGACAATCTTCCTGGTGGTGCGCTGTAGAGGGAAAATGGACTGACCAGTCCTATGCGAGACGTGCAGCACACCGTCTATAAAGAACCTCTGGCGGGATCTGATATCTGGCTGTGATCACCATCCTGTCTGCGACGTTAAATCATTCCTGAGGACTTTGGGGGCTGTCCTTACATTGCCTCTTGATCAGCCAGATCATCAGATGGAAGGCTCGTTGCACGCGAGGATAAACAAAGGGCAGAACTGGTCATAAGCGGGTTCCTGGGCACAGGGGTGGGCCAATATGCACACCTTAGACACCGCTGCTTGATGATGCAAGACGGGAACGTCTGGTGCAGGGGAAGGGAAGGTTCCAATTGGTGCTCGATCACAAACACAACTATTTCCATTTCTGCATATATATGTGCACGATTTATTTTTATTTTTGATTAGTTTAGGTGTGACCGACTGCTAACACCTGACAAACAGCATTAGATTAGGACTGTAGTAGTCTCCCATTGCCAGTTCTATGTGATGCTGCTGTAAGAGAACTGATCGAAGTAGGAATAGATCATTTGCTCAGCGAGTGTACAACTGTTGAAACCACTTGATCGGTAGCTCGGTTGACTTGCCAAATATTTAATAATTTTTATTTATTTTCAAATCGGTCAGAGACATGCTGCGGTAGGCTCGAGTGAGGGCAATAGTGCAGACAGTGATCTGCCTAGCTGATGAACAGTACATATAGTGGGGAAGGGACAGCAGACGATAGGAGGCAAACACGGCGAGATACACAAAGCATTCCCGTTGTGTTCCAAGTTCTGCTACCAGGGGACGCGAGAAGGTTCCGGGCCGAAGCAAGGGCCCAGCATTTGTATAGGGCCAGAGAGGCAGCAGCAGAGGCTGAACGTGCATTAGGAGCAGCAGCAGCTAGTGCTGACGCCATGGCAACTTCTGCAGCGACCTCTCAAGGTCAGCAGACTACAGGGACATTTGCAATGTCCCCTGTCTCATCCAGTGCAATGAGTGCAGGACCCTCCAACAGACAGATGGCTGGCTCGCAGTACAGCCAGCCACCTCCGCCCACTAGGGAGGAGTTAGAACTCCAGCAAGTAGAGCTACTCCGCTTACGATTAGAGAAGCAACTGAGAGACGCTACCGAAAGAGAAGACAATATCAGGAATAGGAAAGCTAGATTGGACAGCAGATTGACAGATAGGGCTGCACTTGAAGGGTTGGACGATTCCGATCTGGATGATGCGGGCGGATCTGCTGGGTCTCAATGAGTATTTTGACAGCCGACTGTATGAAATCCAGTCAACCCTTGACCTGATTCTGACGGCCGTGCAGGGAAGCGGAGGAGCACTGCCCTCCATACCTAGCAGGCCAAGTGTCCGGATGCAGCCAGTCTAAACATCGCCGGTTCCTGTACCAACGGTGACAGGCCCGTTTGCTCCCCAATTTGGTATCATACCAGGTGGTACGTCAGCAGCAGCAGCACAGACTGTTGCTTCTTCGTCCTCAAATCCAGCTGCTGCAGCTGCAGGGCAGCAGCCGGTCCAGTCAACGGCTCAGCCGGCCGGACAAACCAGAGCACAGCAACCTTGGTAACCCAAGACCCCAATGAAACCCCCAACTGTTTTCACAGGAGACGAGAAGGATGAAGCCCTCAACACATGGTTGAGGACAGTTCCATTGTGGGTGAGGGCCAAGCGTACTCTGCGTGAGGAGGAGGTGATCACTGTCGCTTCCTACCTAGAAGGACCGTCAGCAAGATAGCTGAATGGGCGCATAGCGACAAAGAAATTCGCCAAGCGAATGAATGACTGGGCGCAGACCCAGACTCTAGAAAGCTTTATGGACTTGGTGGAAGCGCGATGGCACAATCCCCGGCAGGCTCAGCAAGCCACTGATGTGTTGGCCTGTTTTTCATACTAAAAAGTACAAGACAACCTTCATCAGATCTTTGTGCAACAATCCATCATGCGTTCGACTTAGACAACAACCTTCATCAGCATTTTGTACGCGCATACAAGTCTGATCCACAATATGCCACTCTCTATGAGCAACTTTCTTCGGATCACCTGCCGCCCAGTCACTATCGCATCGCCCACGGCTACTTGCTTCTCCATTCACGCGGCAAGGACTTACTATGTGTCCCACGAGACCGTCGACTACGAACTCGCCTTCTCGGCGAGTACCACGACTCGCCTCACCGGCCACTTCGGAGTCAACCATACGATCGCAAGACTTCAACAAATTCTGATGGCCTGACCTCATTACCGATGTCACCCGGTATTGCGAATCTTGCAAAGTTTGCAGACGAAGCAAATCCCGCAACCGCAACACCTATGGCGAGTTGCACCCGTTGCCTATCCCTCGGGAACCCGGCCACTCCATTGCTATGGATGCACCGGCTCTTTCCCCTGTGATCGCTTCGGGCACGATGGCATTCTCACGATCATTGACCGTTTGAGTAAGTACGCACGATTTCTTCCTTGCAAGTATCACACCCTAACTTCCGAGCTCGCACGACTCTTGCACACCGGCTGGATTTGCAGCCACAGCGTTCCAGAGGATATCATCAGCAACCGCGACACTCGGTTCATGTCGGCATTTTGGACTTCTCTCATGAAGGACTCCGGCACCGAGATGAAACCGAATTCGGCTCGGTGTCCACAAACAGAAGGGCAAACGGAACGGGCACATCAAACCGCTCAAATGATGCTCCGTACACTCATCCGTCCAGACCAAAAGGATTGGGTTGACCGCCTCCCCAACATCGAGTTTGCCTACAACACTTCGATGCATCCCGCGATCCGCGTGACTCCATTTGAGTTGCACCATGGTGGCCAGAAAGGCCGTATCTTTGCCGATCTCTTACCTCCACGGGCTACCAACATTGACGCCCCTTGCTCTCCCGCCTCCGTTTGGAAGTACCGGGACTTGCTGGCCCAAGCCCGCGCAAACAGGCAAAAGGCTCAAGTCCGCATGCAGCAGCAAACCAATCGGTGTCGCATGCCATGTCCTATCCGTGCCAATGACCTTGTTTGGGTCTCCGCAGAAGAGTTTGTGCTCAAGCAAGACGTTTCGGGCAAGCTACTCCCAAAGTGGTTTGGACCTTGGACCGTCAAATCAGCCGCCGGCGACGAGCCCAATGGCCCATCATTTGTGATCGAGATCCCGCCACATCTACCGGTACACCCCGGTCTTCCACACCTCCAAGCGGGCTACGTATACACCAGCCAAGAGCAACGACTTCCCGGACCGACGATCACAGGACCCTCCAATGGATGGTCATCAGGAGATTGATCGCATCGTCGCGCACCGCAAGTACAGCAACAAGCCGATGCAGTACAAGGTTACATTCAAGTGGGGTGTGACCGTGACGACACACGGTGTACTTCGCAGACTTACAAGCCTCCGCACTGCTTATCTACGCCCACTACGAGCGACAACGACTAAAAGGAAGCTTCTCAGCCTGCCCCTCCCACCGGGACCTCAGTCTCTCCCTTCGACAGACAGCTTCGCCCTCGCCGGTAAGCTCGATCTTTTAAGGAGGGGGCTGTTGCATACACTGTACCACACGGGCCCTACCAGGCCCGACCAGGTAGGGCTAGGAGTTGGTTAGGGGGCAGTTAGGCCCAGTTAGGCCCTGTGTCATTTCGGCCCAGCTTAGGGCCCGTAGGTCCGTAGGTCTGTAGGCCCCGTTTTGAGAAGGCCCTGGAGCATGTTTTGGCGCCAGACTTTGGGTAGAGGCCCAGTAAGCGACAGGCCATTGAGGCCCTTCCCAAAATTCGAAACGAGTTCAAATTTGGGCGCCAGATACTGGCGTCGTTCAGCACCGGTGAGAGCAGCCTCCCAGTCAGACCTTGCTATATATAGCTGGTCCGCCTAGGAGGAGAGAGGCACTCTTCAGGCAGCAGACGATAGGTAGTACCGTAGTCTTCCAGTGCTGGGCACTGCATTAGGACTTCAGCCACGAGCAAAAGCAGCCTGCTGCAGTGGAGGTTGAGGGGACACCGGCTATGGTGGAGGCCAGGGGGACTTACCTGGCGACTTACCTGTGACGCCATCGCTCCAGCTTCATCTTCAGTCCATCCGTGCCTTGATGCCTGCATCAAGGCGACACCTTTCGCAGGTTAGTACCTGGGACAGAGAGAGAGAGAGAGAGAGAGAGAGAGAGAGAGAGAGAGAGAGAGAGAGAGAGAGAGAGAGAGAGAGAGAGAGAGAGAGAGAGAGAGAGAGAGAGAGAGAGAGAGAGTTTCTTCTTTCTTCCTCCTCCAGTCCATCGCCGCCCTCCTTCCCTCCGGCACTCTGGTTCCCTCTCTCTTCATCGGAGAGAGAGAGAGAGAGAGAGAGAGAGATTTGCGACATTGGGATTTTGGCAACATTCGGGTTCGGACTTGACATTGGAACAGAGACATGGTGGGAGGGACTATTTTTGTATCGGTATCAACGACATTTTGGGTTCACGACATTCTCCATACCTGCCCCCCTTCATCTCTCCTCCCTCCTCCTCATCTGTGTATGAGTTCCTACCTGGTGCCCTTCGTTTCTGTGTTTGGCGCCAGGTCCCTCACACTGCATGATGATGATGATGTTGGTGTTCAGTCTGTGTCACGACATTGATTGGTTCTGATTGTTGGTATTTCAGTCTTCCGCTGTGCTATCATTGCTCCATTTTTGAGAGGTCGGTTCTTGGTTCTGGTCTGCGCCACTTGGCATGCGACATTACTGCAACACTAGGAACAGTCCACGACAGCGAACTGGTGGTTTAAGTAAAGCTTGGCTCAACCCTCTCCCACTTACACTGCAGCCCATTCGCCTCCAAACATAATGAATTGGGAGGCTGCAGGTTAAGAGTAAATGTAATATAGTACCCACTCAGTAGCAAACCTTTAAACCCTCTTCAGTAACAGAATAAGCACAGCTGGTACCAGCTCCCTGTATGGGAATGCAATGGTACCAATACAAGCTTCTGTGAGACTGGCGCTGCGGACGGTGCTATGTCATTCGGCCCAGTTTGGAACGAAAACAGGGCAACTACTAGGCGGACATTTGGGTGTGTCTTAGGAAATGTTAATGGCAAATTTACTGCTATGAACTTTATCATGGCTGTTTCGGATGTACCCGTCCTAATGTACTGTTATATGAGCTTATACGTGGTAATCCTGGTCATAAATACGGGTCCAGGCTTGGACAGAGCGACACTGGATGGGCTCATGATCAACTGGTTCTCAAAATTAGTCAGCAAGCACAAGCTGGTCAATTTCAACCATGCTTCGCGCCTTGGTAATTTGCATAGAAATCTTGATAATTTGCAATATGTTCAGAAATGACCTTGCCGTGGAAATTTCCAAGGTATCCTTGGGAACAAAAGGATGTGCACTCATGTCCCTAATACTCCCTATATCCTGTTCTCGACCATGACGTGGCCCTGTCCGTGGACAACCCATGGCTAGTCCGCAATGCAAGTACAGGCATACTCTTCCAGCAGAACTAAACCCTAACAGGGACATAAATCACTCCAGATTGAGTGGTAGTCACATTGGATTGTCAGTTTGTCTTTGAAATCCCAATTGCCAGTTCGTTTTTGAAATCCCTATTCTAAAGTTTAAGCATACACATTGCACACAGTCCCTGCACACTTTCACGGAAGCCTTCCCATGGAGCTTCTTTTCTTTTCTTCATGGGGTTGGTTTCGTTTTCTTTCCTTTCATGGAATTTGCTCAGGTTCCGTAAAAAGCAGCATGACAAAGAGTGAACAAGATGGAATGCGCTCACGAGGGGCAAGGCGTATGAAAAAGCTACTTGTATGAATGAGCAGCATCTTTTGTCTCCCTGTCTGCCCTCCTTTTACTGTAACACGGTTGCACATACGGACAGCTACTTGGATGCACAATTGCTCCTTCGCTTCACAGCTGTCATTCGTCATATCATGACAAAGCTCAGGGCTGAACAAAACCGCTCCATACAGTGCTTCCTTTTGATTGTGCCAAAGGGGCTTCCATGTGAGAGATTGAGATGCCACACCATTTCTTGCTTCTCAGGATTTTTTTTATGATTTTTAATCCTTCAGAATAAGTTTATATTGAGAATTGAAGTGTTGATTCCTCGTTTCCACAGCATTGACAAATGCACTGGTCTTTTTTTCTTTTTTCTTTTTTCTTTTTTCTTTTTTACTTCTTTCTCCTTCACGGTTGCCTTCCCCCCAAGTTGCACTTCTCGCTCCTTGTGTACAGTGCAGAGAATTCCATTTTCCTCCCTCCATGTGCCTTTTTGGCAGGGGGCGGGACAAGGAGGAAGGAGGAGTCTGAAATGAATAGTCATCCTCCAGCAAATCATACATGAACCACTCAAGATGGTTAACAATTCTCAGCTTCTAAGGTTCACAGCCATGCTAATTACTTTCCGCAAACTTTCGACCTCTATATCTCTGAACGTAACGGCACGAGACAATACCACACAGCTTATTCGGTTCGTTTTCCGCACAGAAGAGGAAATGGGTGGCAGTTACCCTCAACTGCACAGCATACTCACTGTATCTGAACCCATAGATACCATGACTGTACCAGTAAGAGAGGGGCAAAGATGCATGAGCACAAAACAACTGAGCAATGGAATGGTAAAGCAGTAGACTATGAAAGAAAAACGATAGAAAATATGAAAGGAAAAGGAAAAAAGAAAGTTAAAAAAACTATTTAAAAAAAAAGCAAAAAGCCAATCATTTGACATTGTGAATGCAGAATTACTCACCCAGGAATGAAGCACGATGTGATTAACGCATCAATCATATCCTCCTTGGACTCGAACTTATCCACAAGTAAGCTCCTTGGACTACGAAACACCTGTGTAACTGCAACTGCATGACCAATGGCCACCATCCCAAAGAAACAACGAGAGATGGCATGTTCCTTATCAGACACCATGAGGAACAAAAAGTGACAGAAAGTCAAAAGACTGCCCCACCCACGACATCATGAAGGATGACTCGATAAAAGTATCCTACAGAACCGAAGACCTTGGCCCACTGTGCAATGAAGATGCATGTCTGTGGACAATATTAGCTGAATGATATCCAAATGTAAATGATGATCAATGTCGCATGCCCGAGAGAGCAGAAAGGCATGGCACAGAACCCAAGAACCGACCACGGGAGAAAGAGCAATAACAACGCGGCGGAAGACTGAGACACACAGATCTGACTCATCATGACTTAGGACTGACTGCATACATCCACCGCCAGTCACACATGATGATCGTGGCAGCTCACACATGGAAGATAGCCACCATACCAACAATGCATCCACGGACGAAGGAGGTGTAGGAAGAGAAGGTGGGGAGAAGAAAAGGGAGACATCAACTCAATATCCCTGAGTATGAATAGTCTCCAACAATGGTCCCCAATGTCTCTGGCCGAGTACAATGTCCGAATCTGGGCAATTGCCCAAATGTCATTTAGTCAGTCTCTCTCTCTCTCTCTCTCTCTCTCTCTCTCTCTCTCTCTCTCTCTCTCTCTCTCTCTCTCTCTCTCTCTCTCTCTCTCTCTCTCCCCAAAGTCTCT